ACCCTGGGAGCCACCACCCATGGTCTGGGCCAAGGGAAGGGGTTCTCGGGGGCACTAGAAGCTTGGGTTTTCCAAGCCCTGCCCGAAAGAAGGGACAACCCCCTCCACCCCCTGCCCCATCTGGAACCATTTAGGAGAAAGTGGAGCCTAGATAAGAGGCCCCCAGGGGCAGTGTGGGATCAGGACCCCCTGCTTCACCCACCTGTTGTGCGTAATAATCTTGGAGCAGCCAGCTTGGTAGTATCATTGTCCCCATGGTGCGGACGAGGCCCCTGAGGCTCAAAGAGGCAAAGCCACCTGTCCGAGGCCACACAGCTAACCAGTAGCCCAGCCAGCCTGACTGACTGCACCCTCCATGCTGCTGGCACAGACTGGGTCCCAGGCTCTCTTGGCCAGCCCGAGTGACCCTTGAAGTTCTCTTCTAGGACCAGGAGCTGGAGAGCCTGTCAGCCATCGAGGCGGAGCTGGAGAAGGTGGCCCACCAGCTGCAGGCGCTGCAACGGGGCTGAGGCACCGGCTGGCAGCGCCGGCCAGGGCCCCGAGGCCTTCTGTGGTCCTGGCACTGTTGTCCCCTTTGCAGGTCCTGGCCAGACGGCCCGGACGCTGCTTCTGGTAGGGAGGTGGCCTCCAGACCACCCAAGCCCAGCTCCCCTGTTGCCCCCATGTTCCTTTCCTCCTGCTCTCGAGCCCTGTCCTGGAATACCTCTCTGCAGGACGGGCCCCCATGACTTTAAACATTGATTATTCCTTCTCTGAACATGGGTGGCTTTCTAGAAGTTTCCTTTCCACCGTCATATCCACTGGGCACAACTGCAATAACTTCTGACCTTTTGGTGAAAGCTGAGAACTCCTGTCATATACTCTGTATAAAATTTATCTAAGGAAAAATAAATCTGTCCTGAGCTCTTTCCGCTTTCCTTGAATTTTTTCCCCTCTAAACTCAGAGTGGGGTGGGATGCATTGGATTTGAGAAAATGGACAGGAGGAGGTTCGGTCCACCTGGGGTGACTCCGTTCTGGGCCAATTCCTAGCTGTGGGATCTTGGGAAAGTGACTTTGGGCCTCTGAGCCTCAGTTTCCTCATCTGTAAAATGGGGGTGCTGAGCTGCTTCAGAAGGTGTGTGCGGGGGTTAAGTAACATGCACTGTTCCTTCCTCTCCCGTGCCTCCCAGCTACACAAGCTGGGCCACGTAGAGGTGGGGCCGTGTTCGGACACAGCCTCTGCTTTCTGAGCCCAGATCACCCTTCACTGATGGACCATGTCCTCTAATCTCTTGTGGTGCTGGGTAGAGGCCCTGACAGCCCAGGATAGTGCTGGCATAGGACACAGGTATCAGACCAGCTTTAGATTTCCTGACTTGGGCCTCTGAGCTGCAGGCCCCCGTTGGCATAAATCTTATTCTCCCCTGCCATAACCTCTGGCCTGTTACATGTGTAGAATTGTGGGGCATCTGAAGTTCCTATGCATTTAATGGTTCACTAGAGCACGGAAAGTCTTAGTCCCAACTTGGGGAATGAGGAAACTGAGGCTGAGAAGATAAAATGACTCAAAGTCACAGGCAGGGGTGGTGCTTGAAACACTTAAGCATGGGGACTATGCAGGATTATGCAATCAGGATGACCCAAGCTGGTGCAATGGACCTGTGTGTACCAGCTGAATAACGGCCAATCATTCAGTCATTCATTAAATTCTTGTGAATAGCTGCTTTGCATTTGGTAGGACTGGGCAGTCAGAGATGGCCAGGACAAGCCCTGGCTTTAAGAAGCCCTCACCCAGTGGGGAAAGCTGGACCCTTCAACAGCCAAGCAGACTACAGGGACAAATGTAGGCTCAGCAGAAGTGAGCAAAAGCTCACGTCTGCCTGCTCCCTGCAGGCCAAGAGGAGACAGAGCTTGATCCTGGCTCTGCTAGACCAGCTGGTCAGCCCTGGCCAGGCGCTTCACCTCTCCAGGTGGCAGCTCTGGGTCAAACGTCCTTGGCCTGTGTACCTCAAAAAAAAGCAAGCTGGTGAGGGTGATTCTTCTCGGCAGTGGTAGTGAGGGGGTGGGTCGGGGAGGGCTGGGCCAAGTCCAGAGTGCCAGTTGGGATTTGGGAACCAAGTTCCCAAGGGTCCAGGCTCTGTCTGGTGGGTCTGAGCAGGCAAGTTTCAGTGGCAAGGACTTGGGTTTTGACCTCAGACTGGAGTTGGAATCCCCAGGCTTGCCATTAACTAGCTGGAGAGCTTGGGCAGGCATTTCCTACCCTCTCAGAGCCTGTTTTCTCATCTGTAAAATGGGGATAATACTTATTATCTCCTTACCAGATTGGGGTTGAGTATTGGAGGGGCCCCAACAGCCTGGGCCAGAAAACCACGACTGCCATGATACGAGTCTTCTGAGAGGTCTCGGCAAGTCTAGGCCTCTTCTACGAGCCAGGCTGCCCATTGCTGCCAACGTCTACGCTCCCAGAGGGACCCCCTCCAAGGCTGGAGCTGTAAGGTGTTTATTTCTTCATGTTTCAAAGAGAGGTTTACACTCCACCCCCGACAATTATAGAAATAACACAACACTAACCATATTCCACTAGACCATCACAAATCAAAACAGCCACTACCAAGATTTGTTAGCAGATAAAGAGAACCTGGGGACACCTTGTCACTGAAATAACCAATCCCAAAGATGAGCCACCTGCGTCATCCTTATCACAGGAGCAACCAGGCAACCAAATCAAAAGAGCCAATGGACAGAAGCTGTGATTTTATACCTAGTATGTGTCTTCATATATATACATATACATGTATGTACACAAATGAAGTACAAGCCAGCTCGCGATGCTGGTAAAGTGGCTTATGAACAGGGTTGAAGCAAACAGCATTTGTCACAAAGGACAGGTGTTAGCCCTAACAGCAAAGTCCTGGTGAAATCCCTTTGCAAGCGTGAGTTTCAGAGAGATGCGATTCCACACACGGCCCTGGAGGAAGGGACCAGCCAGGCTATAGGAGGGGACAGTCCCTCCAAGCCACCAGGGCACAGATGACTCTGGAAGGCCCGGGGTGGTCTGGGGTTAGGGGAGATCCTGCTGGTCAGAACCAAAAGAGGAGGATCCAACCAGCAGAAGCCCAAGCTGTCGTGCCAGCCAGCTCTCCTCTGAAGTGTGGGGAGGGTCACTCCAAGACCATGGTGGCAATGGCTATGCAGAGAGAAGGGACAGAGGCATAAGCCCATTATCATGTGGGCAGGATACACAGGAGAAACCCTGGCCACATCACCTCAGTCAGGCTGGGGCTTGTGCAGGGCAGGTGGTTGCGGCACCAGGGCATGGCCAGGCTGACCCGAGGAGGCAGAGGCCCAGAGCCTTGGCCAAGGACCGCTGCTCTCCTGTCTCACAGCAGCCTGTGCTGGAAGGCCCCGTTCCTTTGGACAGCCAGCAGCCAGCTCAAGGGCTCTGGATTTGACAGGGGCCCATGGCTATGGTACAGGAGGGAGGGGAGCTGCCTGGGATCCCACTGGGTGGATGACCAGTTTCTAGGAGACAGGAGAGAGGGCACACACAAACCCCAGGGACTTCAGGAAATCCATTCAATTGCTCTGTGGCCAGCGGCCAAAGTGAATGCCCAAGAGCCAAAGACCAGGCTTCCAGGCTGGAAGGACAGAGGACACACAGTCTCCCTTGGCCTCAGAGTGGCTGGCAAACAGCTGCTCTTCTCTGGTGGCCTGGAAACCAGACAGCTTCCTACTAGGGTCTTTTAACCTTCTCTAAAGCCCGCTTGGCAGTCCTCTGGGTAGAGAGAGGAATACTGGTTCAAGGTTGTTTCCTCCCTCACTGACAGGATTAAAGACACAGGCAGGCCTGCGCACAGGAAGCCCCATGTAACTCCTTGGGGCTTCGCTGGGTCTGACTCCCGCAGGCGATGCTCTACAGCTACAAGCCCAACCATCCACCATATGCTGCAAACCCAGACCTTCCTGTGACACTGTGGCGAACACCCTGCTCCAGGATAGACTCCCCTCGGCTCTCTTGGAGAGAACAGCCAGCCAGCAGCTGGCACTCGATTGGGGTGTAATGTTTGTGGAATCACATCTTTATATAATCAGAGCATCCTCAAGCAGAACTTGATCCAAGGCCTCCATCCCCAGGGGACCCAATGCAGACCATGCAGCTGACCCTCTGAGACTACCCGAGGCCTCAGCCAAAATCTAGCCCTGCCATTTGCTCCTGGAGCCCTGCAATAGCTCTGTCCACTGACCACCACCAAGACAGAAGCTGCAGGGCCAGAGCTGATGTGCTGACCAACTTGGAGACAGAAGCTTGGGAGAGTCCCAAGTCCCCAGTGGTGCTAGCAGGGCCAACTGTGGGTGCTGAGACAAAGCTTGTTCCAGCATGTCTGTCCTTCCCTGATGCCAAAACCCCAAGGCCAGGGACAAGGAGGCCCAAGAAGAGACCAACTCTATGGGCTGTGTCCTGGAACCAAAAAAATGTCAGTGTGCACCCAGGGGACATTTAGAGAACAGGGTTCTCTCATCCTTGCTACTGAGGCCCACTCCCACAGGCACTGGTGCCTCACCTCCGTCCCCAGTCCCTCTGCATGTCGATGTGGTCTGCAGTTGCTGGACAGCATTCGCCAGCCTGGACGGCCCGGGGTGCGGGCTGTGCTTTCTCACCACGTCGTGGCCCCCAAGCCTTCTGAAGCACACCCCGCCCCTCGATTTCCACTCCTGCAAAGTGCACCTGTTCTGCTCAGCAACTGCATGGGGTCTGTGGAAAATGCCACATCACCAAAAGGCGATCACCTGAGATCTGGGCCCTGGATGCTAACATGTGTCACTCTAGAAAGGTGGCACATTGTTTCTACAGGAACATGATACAGCAGGGGTCACACAGCACACCCCATTGTTCTTGGGGCAGCCGAGGATTGGAACTTTATTTCAAAAAGGTAAAGCTGCATTGTTAAATGTCTTTTCTTTAAAGACTGGGAGAATGACAAACTCGAGCAACATCTTATAAACACGCATGAAGCGCAGTTTGATTTCAGTAGTTTATTTTGGAGACAAAGCAGTGCAGGAGGCCGGCCACACTTTCCTGCTTCCCTGGGGCTCAGGGTTAGAACTAGGAAAGGTGACATACAGACATTAATCAGGGTTCAACACTCAAGTCCTGTAAACGCAGTTAGTCACCGGGCCCTCAGTTTCCAAAAAAGCTGGGCAGTTCCGACACTCCTGCCCCTCACGCGGGCCCAGCTCCTCCTTTCCTGAAGGGGGCGCCCCTGCTCAGCCAGGCTGCACGTATCCTGAGCGCTCTGCTTGGGGCGGCTCCTCTTGGGTTGCTCTGCACTCTCTCCAGTGTCCTATCTCACCGGACAAGAGGACCACCCAGAAGCCTTTTTCAAAGTGAACTGATATCTTAAGACAAAATCATACTCAGGGAGGCCTATGTGTCTTGCCCAGTGTCCCACCTCTTCTGGGGACTGAGAAAGTTCCTTACTTGCCCCCTCCCTTTGTGGAGGGGCTGCTGGCCTGCCTAGGCCTCGGGATCAGCCCTGGTCTGCCTGCTGCCGTGATGGGGGTGATTCTAAGGTGGGGGGTGGAGGGGACTGCTCCCTTGCACCTGGCTGGCTTAGTGCTTGGGGCTATCCCTAAACACAGGAGAGGTGGATTGGGCCTGTTGGGTAAGGAGGGACCCAGCAGGTGTGAACCGTATGGGCAACCATGCGGAGGCCCCCCACCTGTCCTCATCTGGGAAGCTTCACAGAGAAGCAGGCTGCCCCAGGGGTTTGAGCATTAAGCCAGCCCTTCAGGGTTCTCTGGTCTTCACTGCCCACTAGAGACAAGGAGACAGAGGGCTGAAAACTCTTGGAATGATTTGTCCAAAGTCACAGCACAAATCCTTGGCACAGGTGGGGCTCCCAGCCAGGCAACTCCTTTCTCGGCTCCAGGGAGTGGCAGTGCTGGGTCGGGGGAAGGAGGCCCCAATGCAGGGCTCAATGGGACACGTGTGGAGGGGCCTGGTGGACTGCAAGAGGGGGGTGTGAAGAGTGGCAGCCGACCAAGGTCTTGGCCTCTGCCCTCGAAGCTTCCTTTTACTTCTGTCAGCGGAGAGCAGCGGGATCACAGCCCAGACCCCCAGCATGGAACCCCCAAGGGGCCCATCACCTCCTCTGGCTTCTGGGAGGGAGGGGCTAGCTTCACGCCTAGTAGGAGCAGGGCATCAGGCCACGCTCCTGACAGAGCCTCTGAGAAGACCAGCATGGGGAAACGGGAAGGGTCAGGCCCGGTCGTGGGGGGCTTGGAGAGGAGGAGGGGAACCGTCCATTCACTCGCTGTCCAGCCTGGCCAGGGGCGGGCCTCCCGCCAGAGGCCCAGAGGCCTAGAGGCCTGGTCCACAGCGGCCATGGAGACGAGCAGGCATGGATGTGCACACACGTGCATGGCAACCACACACGTGCACACGCACGCACCCACATTCAGACCTAGTGTTGAAAACACAGCAGTGTGTGAGCTCAGTGAGGAGATCTGCACTGCAGGAGCTGGTGGGCTGGCCCTTTTCTGCAAGGCCAGACCACCTGGTGTTCTTTTGCACCTTCCCCCACCCTTCCTTTAGATCACGACATCAGAAAATCAGGTTAAAAATTAACAAAAGAAAGAATCAGATCATCGGGAATTCTTAGTAGTTGTGCCACCGTGGGAGCTGCTTGCCCAGTGGGTGTGCTCCGCGCTCTGTGCCGCCCCTCTGGGTCCTGGGCTCTGTGGCTACTGGGAGGAGGCCTTGGTGGCCAGGGAGGCCACACAGTGCTGCTGGAAGCTGGGCGACACACCAGCGGTGCAGCCAAGTCTCTGGTGCGGCAGCTTAGCAGTGCCGCCTGCGTCGGCCTCCGCCTTCCAGGGCGCGTCCTGGCCCATCATGCTGCTGCAGCAGCCAGGACTGGCACTGCACGTCCGCTCACCCGCCAGGCTGCCCGCCGGCTCTGCCAGGAGCTTGCTGTGCCTCAGCGGGGCCATGTCCCCCGCGCCTGCCATGGCTGTGCTCTGGCCCTGCAGGGCGGTAGCGATGTGGTTCAGCAGGTCTGTGAAGAACTCACTCACGCCCTCATAGCCTGGGGTGGGAGAGAGACAGCACGGGGTGTTAGCCAGGGGGTGATGGGAGGGAGGAGGAGGGAACTAGCAGGCCCCCAGAGTGAGGGGGTGTGCTCAAGCCCCCATCTACAGAGAAAACCAAGGCCAGCAGAAGTCGTGGGCTGAGGGCAGTCACACAGCCTGGACTCAAAACCACTGTGTGTGGTCCCATGGGCTGGTCCTGGATCTTTGGATGTCCCCAGTGAGCAGCTGCAGCTGATGACACACACCCTGTGACCCTATCCCGTTTGGGCACAGCTCCACCACCTCATGTAATCACCCACCTGGCATGGTATGATGCCAGCACACACTGCATAATAAATGCCCTTTGACCCCATGGGGCCTGGCCTGGTCTGGTCATGGGCCTGAGTCCTGGCCACTGCTCCTGTCCTGAGCCTCAGCCTCCTCGTCTGTAAACCAAGATGATGATTCCCTCTGGGGGAGGCGACTGTGGGCACAACCAGCGAGGGCTGGCACATGGCAGTGCCTGACCCATAGCAGCTGCCATGAAATTGAGTCTGTTTCCTTCTCACCCTGAAGTACCTGCAGGGAGGCTCTCGGTGCCCCATGCTCCATAGATCGAGGCCATGGGACAGACTCTGGGCATCTGCATCAAAGCCAAGACCTGAGACAGGCTCCACTGCACAGTGACACTCCCTCCCCTGAATGAAGAGGGGTCTTGTCTCTAGAATACCAATCGCTGGTGCCTGCTGGAGGCAGACATTTCCCAGCACAGATGCGAATGTCAGCAGTTCTTGAAGCTACCAAGCAGGTTTCAGATCTAGGGTGAGGATTTTGCTGAGTCCCAACGAACTGCTTCAAAAGAGCTTCCACACAGGCTGGGTGCCTCCTGCCTGCCTGAACCAATTTGGAGGCACAGGAGTCGGCACATGGCTCCAAGAACAACGAGCAGGGCAGGAGGTGTGTCCCGAAAAGGAATCATGGTATGCCAGCTTTGGGAGGGGACTGCAGGCACTGCCCACTGCCACCATGGCTGTGACCACCATCCTCGATGCTGGGCCTAGTGCCGAGAGGATATGGAAACCCTAGCACATCCTCTGGGATGCTAGTCACAGCCAGCGGCACAGGCCGAAGTGGGAGTGAAGGTTGGGACACAGACACCGCATGTTACCGCTCAGAGAAGAGCTCTGTGAAGAGCTTTTCTCGCAGGCCAGGTGGGGGAGCTGCACTTGTCCACACCGTTATTTATTCAACAAACAACTGCTGTGGTTTTGAGGAAGCCTGAGGCTGAGAGGAGGAGGCACGGGAACCCACAGTAAAGATACAAAATGGCTGAGACAGCTGGCACATGGCGCTTCCAAACCAGCACTCTGTGCAGACACCGCACAACGTCCTCTCGCCTGATCTTCGCAGCAGCCTTTGTCCCCATTTCACAGATGAAGATGCATGGCTGCCAGCCTTGGCCATGAAGGTGGTGATGATGTCCACACTGGAGCTCACACAGTGTGCAGGAAGCACCGGCTCTGGACTGTAAGCTCTGCACTCCCGCTCACTGCAACCTTGCAGCCACATTTTACAGATGAGGACACAGGCTCAGAGAGGCCCAATGTCACAATGCTCACAATTGGCAGAGCTGGGATTTGCATCAGGCCCTCTGGTCCTGTCTGTGTCTTGAACACCACGTGGTGCTGGGTGCCCCACCACAGGACTGAGACATTTCAGCCCTAGACCTGGATAGAGAGGCAGAGGGGGAGGGGTGCTGAAAATGCACCATAAGGCCAATGCCAGGGAATGGAAAGCTGTTCCCCAGCAACCACTCTGCCATTGTCCCCAGACAAGGCCCGGAGGCCCCGGGTTGGGGGTGTGCTTTATGGGGCTGTGCAGAGGCAGCCACCTCCTCAGAGGCCTGAGGATGCACAGGGGGGCCTAGGGCAGTGGACTGAGGCATGGACTAGCAGGGCAGGGCACCAGCTCCATGCCAGGCATGGTACAAATGCCATCTTCTCTGTCTCTGAGGGTGGAAAATGTCCCCATTACATAGAGATGAACCCTGAGACTGGGATTTGAATGCAGAGCCTAGATTTGGACACACAGCTGGTATTCTGAGAGTGAGGGGCCTCAAGGTCAAGAGCACAGGCTTGGAGTTGGATGACAGGGCCCCAATCCTGGCTCCATCACATAGTGGCCCTTGAAGAAGTCACTCAACTCCCAGCCTGTCATCAGCAAGCAGAGATCACAGTGGGCCCTTCCATACCGTGCTGTCAGGAGGACAGGACGAGATGCCACAGTATAGCTGTGGCCCACGGTGGGGCCAGCAACCTGTGCCGCTACTGCCCTTATTACTTCCCAGAGCCTAGCGTGCGAAACACCCACAGCTCCAAGGTAGCCTCCATGGGTGAGGAGGAGCCAGGGCCTGCCCCTCTGCTTGGCTCTCAGAGAGCTCTACAGCACAGCTGGTGAGCCGCAGGATCTCCTGGACACGAGCTCCTCCTTGCCCAGGGTCCAGGGCCACATGCTCCCTGCCGCCCTCAGCCTCTGGCTCCCACGAGTCTCCATCAGGCTCAGCCTCATCCTTCCGGGCAGCCGCAGACCCACCTCAGCACCTAGCCCCACCTTGGCAGTCCTTCCCTTGGCTCTCCTGGAAGAAGCCCCCAGTCCGGCTCACAGCTGTGTCCCTCTTCTACCACCCAGGCCACCCTCGGGTAGCAAGCCGCCTGGCCAGAAGCGCATGCAGCTGTTTGCGCTGGGAGAGGTCAACGGCTCAGGTGAGAAGCTTCTCACTGTCCCCAACTCAATCTCCTCCTTCCTTCTAGAACTTGCACTCCAACAGCCCTCTACCCGCTCCTGACTCTCCAGCCACTGACTCTGCCTTTTCACTGAGCTGCCCCCACAGCCTCGTGGTTTAGATCCTCGGTTCATCATTTTGATCGCTCCCCTGATGAGCCCTCAGTTCCCCGCTCCCTCCTACTGGCTCATCAAAACCCTACCTCCCGGCTCCACCCAAGGCCTGCACTGCACCTAGGGGGACTGGAGAAAAACATGATCGAAGGGGCTGGCCTGTGGCTCGTTCAGGAGAGTGCGGTGCTGATAACACCAAGGCTACGGGTTCGGATCCTACATAGGGATGGCTGGTTAGCTCACTTGGGAGAGCGTGGTGCTGACAACACCAAGCCAAGGGTTGAGATCCCCTTACCGGTCATCTTAATTAAAAAAAAGAAAAACATGATTGATTGCCCCACAGGTCTGACCTTCTATTTACAATACAGACCTCAGGCGGCTGCTTCCATCTCACCCAGAGCAGGGTCCAAAGTTCTCACCTTGCTACATGCGGGCTGCTCTCTGACCTGTCCTGCCACCCCTCCCAGTCCCCACAGCTGCACCTGTTCCAGCCACAGCATTCTGTGGTTCCTGGCCTGGGACCCAATGCTCCATCTTCACTGGGTGGCTCCTTCCCTTCTTGGCAGGCTCTGCTCTGGTGTCCCCACCTCACAGAGGAGCCCCAGGCCACCCCTGCCCCTTTGTCTTCTGCTCCTCCCGACAGGGGCATGAGCACTCCAAGGGCAGGGCCTTGGGGGCCGTGCTCACACTGTACCCATGTCTGCACCAGCCGGGACACGAGGCCCCAGCTAAATGATAACTGAATGACACAAGGAGATGGGCGCTCCTCTGGGCCTCAATTTCCCTGGTTTTCTGAGGAGTGGAGGGGACACACATGTCTAGCACCCAGCTGGTGACTGGGGCCCATGAGCTGTGGGGCCTGTGAGCTGCACAGCCCGGAGGTCACACTCCACGCACAAGGGCTCACCCTGCAATGCCCCAAACAGTCCCCACCTGCCATGCACAGTCTCCGAGGGTAGGAATCACCTCCTGAGTGTTTTCACCCCTACTGAGCAGGCAGAGAAGTTTGCTTCACCTCCACAGCAGGTACTTAATAAAGGCCAGGACCAAGAAAAGAATGGAGGGAAACAGATCTCAGGGCAGAGACACCCGTGTTCTGTCCTGGGGCTGTGCCACAAAGCCTGGCTCTTCCCCAACCTGCTGTGTGGGGGTGGACAAGACACTCAGCTGCAGTGTCTTCGGGTGAAGCACACAGCCTGTGAATGTGGTGGTGCCACTCCCATCGTCCCTGCCACGCTGATGTCCCATGTTAGGGCTCACCACAGAGCCCCTAGCTGAGGGGAGATCTGAGGGGTACATGGCAGAGCCTGGCTCTGTGCCAGCAGAGTCTGAGGGCCCTGGCAGGGAGCAGATTCTATGGGTGGGGACCCCAGTGCTGCAGCTCAGGACAGCAGGAGCAGCATGTGTCTGGGAGTCTCTGGCCCTGCTACCTGTGTGCTGTGTGACCTTGGCCAGTTTCTTCCTCTCTAGGGGCCTCAGTTTCTCTATACGTAAACTGTGTGGGTTGTATTACCTTCAAAGTCCTTTCAGCTCCTTAAATCTGAAGAACCCAAAGGATAGGCTGATTTGGCCAATAAGAGGGTGGAAGAACAGCTATGTTGCGGGCCCACCTGTGCCCGGCCTCACCCTGAGCTGGGTGCTTGGACCCCATTCCCTCCTTGCCACACCCTGTAAGCTTTGCAAACAGGGCTGAGGAGCAGTGGGGCTGCACCTGCCCCAGGCCCCACAATGAGGGACGGTGCTGGCTCTCGAGTCCTGGTCAACCTGACTTGCCTGTCCTGTCTCCCAAGGACACAGTCTACACACAGATGGCTGGCTGCAAAGCCACCAGCAAAGGTGGTGCCCAGTCCCGTCGCTCACCTGGGAAGGCGTTGATGTCAATAACTGCATGCTGCCCAGTCTGGTTGTTGATGATGATGTCGATCCCGAAGAGTGACACACCCAGCGCCTGCCGCAGAGCGCGGGAGAGCTCCCGGATGACCTCGTCACTCGGCCGCTCGAACACACCCTCAATCTTGTCCAGCTGCAGACACACACAGGGGAGTCAGACGGTGGGCAAAGGCAATGCCATGCTGCACAGAGACCCCCCATGGGAGGTGCCACAGGCCCTGCATCCTTCAGGCCAGGAGGCAAGACAGACCCACCATGGTAGGCACTAGGGCGACCACTGTCCAAGTACTGCCACGGGCCGGGCAGGCACCTTTCCAGAACTGATCACAAGCTGGGCGGTTGCTGTTGATATCAGCATTTCATACACAGGGAACCAGAAGCTCACACAGGGTCAGGGGCTGGCCCAGGGTCACACAGCTTAAAAGCACAGGGTTGGATTTGGACCCAGGTTTTTCAGTCTCTAAAACCCAACTCTCTAACAGGGAGGAAGGAGACGGAGAGTCTGTCATGGACCCAGGAAGACATTAGGGTGCAGAGAGCACTTGAGTCGAACCTTGAAGGGGGTAGGATTTAGGGCCTTGGGCAGGGGTGGGAGGAGAGGGGCTCCAGGTGGGCACAGCAGAAGTAAAAGTGCAGAGACCAGGAACAGCAGGAGACAGTTGTGAGCAGCTGCGACACAGGCAGGCAGAGGTGGGCAGCAGGAGTGTTGTGGTCAGCAACGCCACACACTCCCACCACCGCAGAGTCCCCAGGGCGTGAGGCGGAGGGTTCTAGGGGACGTGGCATGCCAATCTGCCTTCCCAAGTGCCTAACTGTGGTGTTTCCAAATTAACCCACATCCCATGTGACTTGGGCTTTCCACGGAGGTCACTGCGCTGCTCCTGCCTGGCTCCTGTGTCCACGCTGGGCTCTGAGCAAAGCTTCAACGGGGCCAGTTGGGCGGTCCCAGTGCACAGTTCTCCCACCTTGCCCTGGACCCCCCATGCTGCTCGTTTTCTGCTGGCCTGGGACAGGCATACAAGTCTTCATGTGCCCAAGCTTGGCCCCTGGCCAGGGTCTCCAAGAAAGTGGAACGCTGCATTGGGAAGGATTCTGGAGTCCGGGGGATTCAGATTTGAATACTGAGTCCCTTCCTAGCTCTGTGGACTCAAGGAAAGGTAATTGGCTTCTCTGTGTGTCAGTTTACTCATCTGAGAAACAGGACCGGGCCGGCCAGTTAGCTCAGGTGGTCAGAGTGCGGTGCTGATAACACCAAGGTCCAGGGTTCAATCCCTGTGCCGGCCAGCTGCCAAAAAAAAAAAAAAAAAAGAAGAAAAGAGAAACGGGACCAATGAGGCCTTCATCCCCAACTTGCCAAGAGGAATAATGAAGTCGTTGATATGGTGGGGACAGTACCTGCCTGACTGGGAGGAGGTCCTATACCTGAATTGTAGGGCAGGGACTGTGTCCTGTCACCTCTAAATCAGACAAAATAGGCTCACTCAGGTGCTCAATAAACACTGGAGTCCTTGGGGTTGTGGGCTCAGAGGCCAAAGCGGAAGGGGTGGCTGATCCACGAAAGATCAAAGTGAGCTGGGTCAAGAAGTTAAACACAGAGTCACCATGTGACCCAGCAATTCCACTCCTAGGTATATACCCGAGAGCTGAAAACAAGGACTCAACCAGGTACTTGTCCACTAGCGATCACTGCGGCACTCTTCACAATAGCCAAAAACAACCAAGTGTGCATGGACGGACGTGTGGGTGAGTGCACTGTGGCACAGCCACACAATGGCACGCTGTTCAGCACAAAGAGGAGTGAAATCCTGATACATGCTGCAATGTGGATGAACCTTGAAAACATTATGCTGAGCGAAACACGGTGGACACAAAAGGTCACATACTGAATGATTCCATTTACATGAAATGTCCAAAATGGGCAAATCCAGAGACAGAGACCAGATCAGTGGTCGCCAGGGGCTGGGAGCGGGGAAATGGGGAGTGGGTACAGCGTTTTCTCTTGGGTGACAAAATGTTTAGGAACTAGATAGAGGTGGTGAATCACAACACTGTGAATGTACTAACTGCTACTGAATCGTATACATTAAAGAGGCTAATTTCACCTTGTGTGAATTTCATCTCAATCTTAAAAAAAAAGGTGAAACTGGGTGTAGTGGTTTGAATTATGTACCCCCAAAACTCCCTGAAGCTTGAATTGTCTCCCAAGTTTTATGTATTAGAAACTGAGCCCCCAGGGCCAGCCCGTGGCTCACTTGGGAGAGTGTGGTGCTGATAACAACAAGGCCAAGGGTTCGGATCCCTATATATAGGGATGGCCGGTTCGCTCACTGGCTGAGTGTGGTGCTGACAACACCAAGTCAAGGGTTAAGATCCCCTTACCCGTCATCTCTTTAGAAAAAAAAAAAAAGAAACCGAGCCCCCACTGTGACTGTTAAGAGAGTGGGAAGTCCTATTATGGTAATCGAAAGGTGGAGCCTTGAAGAGGTGATTGGATGGGAGGACCCTGCAGTAGTGAATGGATTAATAATGGTGGTCAGCGGTGTGGTTCTGAAGCCTTTAAAAGAAGAAAGTCTGTCTTTCTATTTCTCTCTGCTCTCTCTGCTTCCACCATCTTGCAATGTGAGATCTCTGAATCACTGTCACCACCACCACATGGACTTTGGACTTCCCAGCCTCAGAAACTGTAAGCAATAAATTTCATTTTCTTTATAAATCACCCAGTTCCTTGTATTCTGTTATAAGCAACACGAATGGACTAATACACTGGGTCAGGAGGGCTGAGGACAGAGCCCTGGTCACCAAGGCGAGGAAGCTGAAAAGACCAAAAGGGAACTTGCAGACACATGCTGAGCAGGGTCCCAGCCCTGGGCCCCTCCCACGCTCTGTGCTAACGCCAACCCGTGGGCTCTGCAAGACAGGCGGGGCCCCTCCTGCTCATGACCCCAATGCCTTGGTGTCTCCCACAGGGGAAATATTTTCTATGGGGAGTGGCAACCAGGCTGTAGTAGACGCTCGTCACTTAGCATGTTCCCGAGCCTCTCAGTCACTCTCACCAGTGAGGGCCAGAGGTGTGGCCCAGTGGGGCAGCCTGGGCCCTTGCCGAGTCAGAGAGACCCGGTGGATGCCTGGGCACTGCCTGTCCCCTGCTGCACTCCCTGAGCCACAACATAACCCTTCAGGGCCTTGTTTTCTTGCCCCTATAGTGGGATAATAAAAATACCTATGTTGTGAGATTCTGATGAGGTTAAGCTGGTGTTTAAGTCTCGCAGCACAGGGCCTGGCAGCAAGGTGGCTGTGGCTGGGACACTGCTGGAGTCTCATGACACGCTGTTTACAAAAGCACTTTCTCAGCTTAGCTAAGGAATCTCAGAAATCCTTCTGAAGCCATTTGATTATTCAAAACCAAACTGCCATCCTAGAACAAGATAAAGGCATGGGAATCCTGCCTATGGGCACTTAGCACAAACAATCTGAGGATGTTCTGGAAAACAAGGAAGGAGAGAGGGAGGAGTGGGGAAGGTGCTTGTGTGAACCACCGATGGCCCCGTCTCCAGTCACAGCTGACACTAAACACTGAACTCCACCTGGCAGTCGCTTTTCATCCAGGAACTCAACAAGTCTGACGGAACCCGCTAGGCAGGATGAGGAAACTGAGGCTCAGAGAGGAGACAGGGCTCACCTGAGCTTGGTTTGGACCCCAGGTAGTCCATCAGAGTCCATGTTCTTAACCAAAACACCACACTGGCTCTCGAGTAAAAGGTGTTTGGGGGCTGCAAGTTGGGGTGGCCCATCCTCAGGCATCGGATGGGCAGGGAGGAGGGGTTTCAAGGCCAGAGCAGGGGTCCTGACCAGGGCTCCCAGGGAGGCCAAGACAGGGTCTGGAGGAGCCCCAGGTGGGCAGGGGTGGGAGGATGAGTCAGGAACATGTTCCTGCTCCTGGGAATGGAGCTGACTGAGTCAGGCTGGCCCAGGCGTCCAGGAGGCTCAGGTCCCGAATGGAGAAAGTGGCACTGACTGCACCTCCTGTTCTGTTTTTAAAAGTTGGCAGTCCTAGTGGATTCCTGACTAGCAGTCATGCACTGAGGGGAGGAGGAGACGACTGTGGACGTGAGAGGTGGAGGGAAGGCCCCTGCAGTGTCTCCAGGCTGACCCCTTCCTGTTGTACAGATGAGGAAACTGAGGCTAATGGTCAACAGGTGATTATCCAAGAAAGTGACTTCCGGTGGGTCACTCTGCTCATCACCCTCACGGTGTCCCTCTGGCATTGCTCACCAGCCCCAGTGGCCACCATCACTACACTGTGTGAGGACACTGGCAGGGACGCTTCTCAGGAAGTCTGCCAGAAGCTGCCTCCCCTCGCCACACTGGCTGAGTCCTAAAGTTTATGACACTTTACAAGAACCTTTCCCACACTGAACACCTATTTACGTCTTATAACGTACACAGCCAAGCACCAAGAGGCCCTGTTTAAAATCCCATTGTCCCAAAGCTTCCCCGACTTGTTCCCAGAGGGATAGCCATCACCATCTTGAGGGACAGTGGAGTTCCCTCAGGTCCCTGTCCACGCCTGTGCTCGTCAAATTGTCAGCACACGGCTGGCTCCTCAAAGGAGCCAGAAATACACAATGAACAGCAGGCTGCCAACAGGGGGCACAGAGGAGTGGCGGGCAGAGGTCTGCTGTGACTCTTGTTGGTGAGACCAACCCAGGACAGGGAGGAGGACACAGCAAGGCTGTGTATCCCAGGATACTAGGACAAATGCAACCTCAGGGGAGCAGGAGCCCCAGAAGAGGACTCTAAGTTTAGGGGAAGTGGCAGAGATGGCCCGTGATTTCTAACTGTCTGCTTTGGGGACAGTTGTTCAAGAATCACGGATGAGGTAAGAATCTTAAACTCCTGGAAGACCCAGCTTTGGAAAAAGATCCGGGGCCAAATCCTGACTGTGCCCCTGTATGAACAGCCCTGTAACTTGGAGAAGTTACTGAACCTCTCTCCGCATCAGCCTCCTCCCCAGCAGAGTGGAGTTGCTCGTTCTTCTCCTGTGTGGCTGCCGTGAGGTGCAGGGCACCTGGGTTGAAGCTTGACACACAGCGACAGTCACTGCACGCCAGCCACGATGCCCAGCACCCGCTGCCTTGGGGGTGGGTGACACTCCTAGCAGTCTCTGAGCTGTCCCAGTGCCCGCAGCGTGCACAGTGGGCTCTTAACAAATGCCTACTGGACTCACGGATGAGGAAGGACAAAGGAAAACTGAGATGGAGCTGTCTCGCACTCCTTTTTTACGATGAGGAATAAGGCAGGTTGGAAAGCAGTCTTCAAATTCCTCGTGACTGGGAGGCTTTCCTCATGCTGTGGGAAGACTTGGCAAACTTCCATTCTGAGTAACCTGGTGGTGAGTGGTCCTTCCGCCCAAGCCCAGGTGTGCTCACCCACCAGATGTGTGCTGGGGTACAGCTGTGACGGCCACCGGTACGGAGGCCTGATGCAAGGAGAGGAAGAGGGGTCTGTGGAACCTCCCTGGGCCCCCGGCATGCCCTGCTGGGGAGCCAGCCAGGGCCCCACGGCCAACAGCACCTCCACACCCAGGCCCGGGTGAGGGCAGCCTCACACCAGGCCACCGCGGTGGAGGAACATACCTCAGTCAGGACCGATGACGACTCTGGTTTCGAAACGTTGTGGCTGTTGAAGAAGATGGACTCACGGTCTGAAAAAGCAGACAGGAAGGAGCCACGATGAGAACCCAGAGGCAGGGAACGCGACACCACCACACAACACCAGGGGGCAGCACCACCCCAGCCACGCGCCCGGTCTTGGGCTCAGTGGCCAGCAGCAGCCCCGGGGCTCCAGCAAGTTGGGCACCCCTACCCCAAACAGATGCCACGCCCTGGATGGACATGTGCCCAATCAGGGCCTCCATTTCAATTTTTCCTTCACGTAAATATGATTGGCTTAACGAGCCTGCCTCGGCTACCATCTCACAGTACTGCACCTGGCTTTCCCCAATGCTAAAGGCCCATGCCTGAAGTGCGTCAGATACATCACCAAAAAGTGCACCAAGGGGAACGGGGGCTAGGTGGGAAATGCCGCACACCCAAATGTCTAAGTCCCGAGGTAAAGCGGTCTAGTAAAAGCCATTTAAACCAGTATTCACACCCCCGTCCCAGCCCATGGAACTCTCTTTTGGGGAATACACTACAGAGAAACAAACAGGCTGTCACTGGCATGCGAGCACTTAACACACAAAGGGTTCTGCTGTTTACCAACTACTCAGGGAAAAAATAAGAAATCAGAACAGGGCTTCCATAGGATCCACCCAAGAAAGCACACAGAATAACTTCTGCTTAGCATTGAAGGTGGCACAGCCCCGGGAGATACTGTCCACCTCCTCCTACCCCACGCTCCCTGCTCCATGCCCACTGCACCTGTCCCCCCTCAGTCCCCATGGTGGGCACCTGGAAAGGCTGACCAATCCCAAGAATAATGAGAGTGAAGAGGAGACAGTGTGTTCATCCATCTCCAAGGAGAAATGTCCATGGGGAGTAAACCAAGGTTGCTCCAGAGAGACGTCAGGCCTGCTGGTCAGAAACCTGTTCTTGAGCACTTGGAAGCATGGGCGCTCAAATGCAAGAATCACAAACCACGAGTCTTGAGGCTGCGTTCTGGTAAAGGCTGTCTACCACCTCCCCATGACTTCCCCCAAGAACAAACAGCACGGGACCAGCACAGGACCATCCCGGGCCATGAGCCCCCAAGTGGCCCTGCAGCTCCTGCTTGGGTCCTTGCAGGGAGGGGCATTGTGGCTCCCATCCCTCAGGACACAATGCTTACCCTGGGACTCAGGCCCCTAAGTGCAAGGGCAGGAAGGGCACTGGCTGAGGAGCCATACAAGGGGGTGCCTAATCTGGCTGCCAGCGACCCCTACCAGCTCCAGGACTCTATGGCTCTGCAACAGTCATGCATGAAGATGTGACTGGGGTAGAGGCTAAGCAGGCAGGCACTGAGATGTACCTGGCATCCTTCCCGCTAGTGGGGCACAAAGGCCCCTGGTTGCCTGGGTGTGCCCGATAGTCCTCCCACTGCTCCAACCAGAGCCAGTCCAGACGGGGGGCACAACAGACGGTTCTGGGGAGGAGCCTGGGGAAAATAAACACCCTGCAGGACTTGCGCCAAGTAGCTCCAAGGACCTCTACTCCCGGGCACCAACAGGCAAGAAGAGTGGGCCTTTGGGGTTGGCAAGCCTCCATGACCCCAGAGGCCAGAACAAGGCTCGAGCAGCTAGCATAGGCGCTCTGGCCTTGTGTGGGTACTGCCCACCTCCTCATCCCACAGGCCAGCCTGGCCCAGGCCCTGAGCTCAGGACGCCCTTCTATCCATATCCCTGCCAGTCAGCGAGGGCACAGCCGCAGTGGCAGAGCAGGCCTGGGGGCAAGGAAGAACCACCAAGAGAGGGTGGACATAGTAAAGTTCAGAGAGGTGGGAAGCCTACAGGAGCCACAAGGAGAACACATGGGTGCTGGCTAGTGCCAGGGAGGGACAGAGTTGGGTACTCAGAGGGGCCTGCCACTGCCTGTTGAACTGGACTAATCAAGTCACTCAACAGTTTCTCGTGGGAAGGAGATAAAAAATCCAGACCATCTCAAAGGAAACTCTTTTCTCCCCCTGGCTATGCCTGACCTGGGATGCTCTGGCCAGAGGACTACCCAGCAGGGCAGTGGGCTCAGCTCCTTTCCATGTGCGGCCTGAGCAGGGGTCAGAGGGAGTGGTAGTAGCTTTCAGCCACTGCCTGTCACCCACGAGATGATGGGACGCTGAGACAGGACAGAAGGGCTCAGAGCCCCAGGAAGGAGCCCTGGTGCCCAGCTCCTTGGGCAGCTTCAAGACATCCAGATCCTCTACCAGATGGACTGGGCCAGAGCATTGCTCCTGAGTTCAGTGGCAAGGCCCTTTGTCATGGGATTGTCTACGGGAGCAGCAGTCTCTGTCCCTGGACTAGTCCTAAGGAACATACAGTGTGGGTGAAGGGCCACCACCAACTTCCTGCAGCAGAGGGAAGGCCAAGAGAGGTATAATGGTTGTTTTTGTTCTCAATTTACAAATGAAAAAAACAGGTTCAAAAGAAGAATAAATGGTAAGATTAGCTCCCAAATATCCCAGCAACTCAGCAAGGCAGCTGTGAGCGTGAGCTGTGGCCAACTGTCTTCAGCCTCATTTGCTTAATTTCTGGGGGAAGTGGGGAGGCCATAGAAGATCTGCCTATGGTGACCCAAGTCTCCTTCTAGCGACCATACAAGTATCGCCTCTGCAGACGGCCCACCTCTGGCTGCCCTTTCCCAGTGGCTCCCCTTACCCAAGTGGTGTCCCAGGCCTCTCCTGGAGCCCCTCATCTCAAGCCATAATTGGACCTTTTATTATTTCTTTCCTTGTGTGCTGTTTTTCTCCCTAGAATATAAGCTCGTGAGGGCAGGGAGCCTGGCTGATGATCTAGTCCCTGGCTGGTACAGCACCTTGCATGAGGTTGGGCAACAGGTAGGTTCAATAAATGAGTATATATCATCGAATCGTAAGAGGCTCTAGAGTGGAGATCAGCAAACTACAGACTGCAGGCCAGGCCACCTGCACCTGCAAATAAAGTTTTATTGGAGCACTGCCACGCACATTCATTTATATACCATCTACAGCTGCTTTCAAACTACAGTAGCAGCAGTGGCTAATTGTGATGGTATTGGAAATATTTACTACCTGGCCTTTTCCAAAAACAGTTCACTGACTCCTGCTGTATCTGGTGAGAGACACCACTCTTTTATGTACCCCTTATGAAAAAAAGGCCCAGCATGGAGAGTAGAAAAGGGAGTCCCCACATCCTCAGGGTCAAGGTAAAAGAGAAATAAACTCACTATGCAGAAAGGAGGAGCTAGGAGACTTGCCTGTCTCTGCCCTAGCACTGGACGGAGAGAGGGGAACAATCCCCCCAGGAATGTGAGCCATGGGCAGAGAATATAAGTGTTCCTGGTGGCCAGTGCAAGCCCATGTCAACTTCCTCCATAAGAACTCGACTTCACTTCCAGCCATTTTGCAGATGCCATTGGCTGTAAGATCCACCTGACTTTAGAGATGTTAACATGTAAAAAACAAAAGTTCACTTAAGAATCAAAAAAGAATGGCAGTTGTGGAGTGAAGATTTGTGTTCTTATCTATATCCCAGGGCAGAAAAATCCCACTCCAGGGGCCCTACCCTCTGTGCTGGGTAACGGGAACCAGAAAGCTCATGTGGGGGCTGGAAAGAGGCCAGTGCCCTGATGCCCGCTTTTCAACCAGTCCAGCTTAAATGGCTGCTGTCACCTTCTGCTTCTCACCAGAAAGAGAACATGCGTGCGAAAGCACAGAACCCACGCCAGCACCCTGGCACAGCACCCTGAAGACAGCAGCACAGAATCGGCTTTGGGGATGGATGGACAGACAAGACGCACTGAAAGTTACTCAGGTCACCTGAACATAACACACATTTCTCCTTTTCAGCTTGTGTGTTTCTCTGCTATTTGGCCCTGGTCTGCATTTCGTGTTCATCTGGTAACCTAGAAATGGCTACAAGAAGACACACAGACAAGGAGGTCTCATCCTCACAGGAGGAAGAGCTCGCTGGCTCCCAGCACTGAGACGGAAATTGGCACTTTGCAGCCAGGAGGAAAAAAAACCCCATACTTTTGTGCAGAAGGAAGGTAGGTCTGGGGGTAAATTTCTTCACCACCTAGAGATGAAGTGATTTGCGTAAGAAAAGAGACAGGAAATGATATAAGATATAGCTACTCTTAATTTAGAACATTTTCCACAGATTTAAAAAAACTGTCAGCCTCTTCCAGTCCAGTTTGGAAGAAATGTCTCTTGGTGGCATACAGCCACATACAAAAAGACCCCTCCACACACCCAGGTCATTCTGTCATATGAAGGGACCAAGGCTGGTACTGGTGTTAGGACAGGGATGTTCCAAACCCTGAAAACGCAGCCTCGTCCCTGCCCTTCCACCTGAACTCAGAAGGGAAATGAAAAAGACACACATTCCCAAAGCGGCCGCTCTCTGTGCTGTGTTAATGGAAAGAAAAAAGTCACCCTGGGGAAGAACCGCTGAGGGGGCCGAGAACAACAGCTGAACTTCATTCAAGAGGGTTTCTTAAACAAGCCAGGAGGTGTGGATGGCGACAGGGGGGCCCAGGAGGAGGGACTTCAAGAAGACACATGCTTGCTCAGACGCAGCTCAGGTAGCCTGCCTGTTTCAACACTTCCAGCGATGGTGGGCTTCCTTTGCAGAGAGAAATGTATGAGTTTGAACAAACCATGCCAGGGCAATCGAATGTCCTCCAAGGAGTCCTTATACTTATTCCAAAGTCACAGCCACTGTCCCAAAGGCTTCTGGAATTTGCCTTAGAGATCCCTTCAGAACCACAAGAACATTCTTTTGAGCAGCCCCACTACCAGCAAAGCCTTCATTTAGTGTCAATTTTTGGAATGGCCAAGGATCATCTGGTGTCTGGCCTGGTGAAAGGTGAGCACTGGCTAAAGAAAACCCCTGGGTGTGGCCCACAGGCTGCCCCCGAGAGCGCTGCCTCTGATGCCCAGATGACAGAAGCACCACACAAAGACCACTACCACATGACATCTCAGGGTACTTGGGACTGCCACCCCAGGCACGGCCGGGGTAACTGTGCCCACTTCTGACTTGCCCAAGGTCCTGCAGCAAGAAGGCCTGGGACCCAGCAGACACCGACTTCTGATCAGGTGCCAATTTCTTTAGCAGCTGCGGAAGCTGCAGGACCTCAGGCTCCGTCTCCCCATTTGGAAAAGGGAGACATGGGGTGAGGACGACCCGACAGGGCAGCCAGCACTCTGGCCCCTCCCTCCCTCCCTGGCTTCCCTGCAGGGCCCATCCCAGCATATTCCTCCTGGGAGTCTCATTCCTGGGTGGGCCCCCAGGGGCAAGTGCTGAAGAACAGGCAGCTGGTGCCACGTCCCAGCTGTTCCCCTGGCTGAGACAGCATGAGGACTGGTTACCTGACATGCCCGCAGAGAAGTTCTTGAGCGAGGGCCTCTGGACCACAGTGTAGGACTCGCCAACCACAAACACCTTGTACAGGACTGCATTGTGGTTGATGAAATTCTGGACCACACAGGGGGGCTGGATGGCATTCAGGCCCTCCTGGTTGAACACGATGGCCATCTGGGGAGACAGGGAACCAAAGGATCTGTCAGAGGCCACCACCGCTCCAGCCTCCAACACAGCAACACATCACCTGTCCAGGGCACCTCCACCAAGGCCCATATGGCCCTGTGGCATGAGGACTCCCCAAGAACAGTCTCAAACTAGGGTGAGTGGAGTGGCGGGGGATCAATTCACTTCTGTGTGGGGGTCTGGAAATCCTGCGTCCACTGGGCTGCGACGTAGGGCTGAGCTGGCTGTGCACTGCACAACTCCTGAAAGCACTATTCACACTGTAGTCCTAGGGAGGGGGACCCCCTGGGTTGTGTGCCACTCTACCCTTATGACCTCCTAGAGGCTCCTCCACAAAGATCCAGGAGGGGGAGGTAGGAAGCAGCCTACGGATCAGGAGCTGGGAGGCCTGCGGTCAAAGCCTGTGTGATGACAAGGGCTGCCTCTTGTCAGGTACTCATGACAAGCCAGGCCCAGTTCTAAGCACTTTACATGAGTTACCTGGTGTCATGCCCACAATGCACCACTGGGGTGGGCACATTACCATCCCCCTTTTACAGATGAGGAAACTGAGGCCTGAGGAGTTCAGTGACCTGTTAGAGAATGAGAGGGCTCAGAATGGAATTGGGTCTGCCCCGCATCCAGCCTTGCCCTCATACATGCTGAGCCACACAGACACGTGACAGATAGGTACATGTCTCTGTGCTCCCAGTCCCTGACTCCTCTGGGGACAAAGGTCCCTGATGGGAAGATGTGGCAGGGGAATAAGGTAGGGAGGGCAGAAGTGCAGTTGCAGAAAACCCCTCCATGTAGGCCAAGGCTGGGTCTGCCCAAGGCCTGCTCTAAGGACGACGGGACAGAGGGTTGGCCCATGGCCCACTACAGCCAGCTGACAGTGCCAGGGTCATGGCTAATCCCTCAGCCTACAGGGCCTCAGGAAGGAGCTGCCAGATGCCCAAGGCTCCTGAAAAGGGATAATAGGGACTGGACAACAGCTGGCCACCTGCAGCGGCCGCCACCCCTCTTGTCAACTGTCACAAACATCTTCCTTACATGCCTGGTGCTCAGCTAGGCAGGACAGAAGGGGCAGACCAAGCCACATGAGAAAAACAGAAAGTGCATGCATATGCAGGGGGATGGGGGCGTGAGGGGGACAGCGAAGGTCACCACAGCCTTCTGACGAGATGAAGGAACCACATGTGGAGAAAGGGAGGAACACGGGCAGCTGTGGGGTCGGATGGGCTCCATCCCCCTCCAGCACTTGCTGCACAAGCCCAGGCAGGGCACGCAGCCTGTTTAGGCTCCATTTTCCTTATCTGTAAAATAGCAACAAAACTACCATGGGGTGACTTTGGGGATGCTTTGAGCTTCTGGCTAAGTAGTTTTAAAAAAAAAAAAAAAGGGAGAGAGATTCCACTGCAGAGCAACCTAGTGCACTTGTACCAGCTCAAAAACAAAACAAAAACTCAAAAAGTTCTGTGAACATAAGATGCAAACAGAGTGGTATGGCAAAACTAGTCTTGGTTCCGACTGAGGCAGGGGCTGCGAGACAGAGGGAGGGCCTGGCCAGGCTGGGGTAGGGGCGAGGACCCTCCTCACACGCACAGACTCATCCTCCATCCTCGCTGCATCTGGCATCCTTGGGTACCCCTGGGACAGGTGAGGAGCTTGTTCGCCACCCCTGCCCGTCCTGTGGAGGGCACCCACACCAGTGGGAGCACCCCTGTGATGCTAATAGGCCCCCACTGCACACGTGAGCCCCCTGGGAGTCCCCGCAAGCTCAGGACTGCGCTGCACGCTCTGCTGGAGAGCACCTGTGGAAGGGTGGGGAGAGGAAGTGCAGGTGTGTACATATGGGAGCCAGACAGCTGAATGAAGGGTGATTACAGCCTCCACTGAGGGCACCATCCCACACCTGAGGGTTGAGACCCCCGTCAGTGGCCTCCAGAACTCCCACCCCTCTGCAATTACCCAGCACGCTTCAGGGCAGTTTTTCAGACAGCTGCCCCAGGAAACCCATGTAGTACCCTCCTTGTCCTTCACAAAAGCCGTTATATTCCCAGTTACAAACTCGGGACAGAGCTCAGAGAGACTCAGTGATTCACCCAAATCCGCACAGCTGGCAACACACAGAGGCAGAGTTGATCCCAGGTCTGTGTGATTCCAAAGCCCCAGTTCTCAGGCCCCATGTGACAAGCAGAGATGGTTCCCTCCTCCCAGGGTGACCTATTCTGCTTTGGGCTGGTCTGATCACACTAATGACTACATTCATGCTTCCATCCTGAACATCCATAGGACTGACAAGCAGGGGACCACTGGGTGGTGCCAGGGGCAGGTGGAAGGTGGGCAGGCAGGTGCGGTGAGGGCAGCACAGGCACTGGGACATCTGCTCCCTCCCTGGCCTGCCAGGGTGCATGCCCCACAGGGTGCTGCTGCTGGCACGGGGCCCAGGACAGGGAAGGCTGGCTCCCGCAGGAAGACTCCGCAGGCGCTCCGGATCCCAGCAGGCAGCTGGCCTCTGCAGCGGGTGAGGATTTCGACTGGCTGCCCCCGCATAGCTTCCCAGAGGCAGGGCCGGCCCCGTCACAGCATGTCCTGTGCTCCACTGACACTGACTGTTTATAGACATCCTCCATAAATACACACGAGGGATAAAGAGTGCAGCATAAATCTACTAGCGGCTGTTGCTGCCAGGGCTTCCATTTTTAATCATGAGCATGTGGGAGCTTTTCTGACAGTGGGGATGCCCAGGGACAGGCCAACCCACTTAGTGACATCGCATGTACCTAACAGGGAGGCCCCAGGCTGGGCTGGGCCCTGAGAGGTGCACGGCAGCCCAGGGAGGCCTGAAGACCATGTCCCTGGTATGGTCCTAAGGGCTGCAAGGGCAACAGAGACCCAACAGAGCCCCTGCACAGCCATCTGCCACTCTCACCCCCAGAAGTCCTCACATGCTCACCCTCCTCCACCACCTCCCATTGGCACTGTCTCTCTCTAGGGATTCTCTGTCCCCACACTGGGGCAGGCCTCACATCTTGTGCTCCCACCCCCTGGCACCCAAGGTGGGGCCAGGAATGCCCACAGGGTGAATAAAAGAGCGAGTGGGTGGGTAGATGAATCAAGACACCCAGCAGGTGTGGTCTCTCTCCTCCCCAACCCCTTCCTAAGTGCGGCAGCACTGGCAGATCCTTGTGGGTGTGACAGGTGCCTCTCATTTAACAGCCCTCACCTGGGCCCAACCCAGCACCTGCCACAAAACTGGTCCCTAGGGAGTGATGACACTGATGGGCCAAAGGACAGAAAGCTAGGGACAGGTCAGATGGGGCTGTGACTTGCATGGGCTCTGCTGTGAACTGAATGTGAATGATCCCCTAAAATTCCTATGTTGAATGAAACCCTAAGCCCCAGTGTGATGATATTTGGAGATAGGGTCTCTGGGAGGTGATTGGTGTTAGAAGAGGTCATCAGAGTGGGGCCTCCATGATGGGATTAGTGCCCCACCTCATAGCAGAGACCAGACAGCTAGCTCTCTCCCTTCACACATATGCACATACACAAAGAAGAGGCCATGTGAGGACACAGCCAGAAGGAGGCCGTGTACAAACCAGAAAGAGAGCCCTCACCAGAAACCAACCATGCTGGCACCTTGACCTGGGGACTCCAGCCTCCAGAACAGTGAGAAAATAAGTGTCTGAGGTTTAAGCTGCCTAGTCTATGTTTTGTGATGGAAGCCCAATCTAAGACAGGTTCCAAAGTGGGCATGAGGGCCCCCAGCACATCCTTCCAGCCTTGGGGACAGAACAGGCACCAGGCCACAGTGCTCCTTCTACTCAATTCCTGTGGAGCCTAGGGAACACAGGGAGGGAGGGAGGCTGCCTACCAGGGAGCCGGGACTAAGAGCAGGACAGGGAGCAGCTGCAGGTGTGGAATTTAGCACACAGATCTTAGCAGGGTCCCAGCAAGACATGAAGAGGTGGAAGGATTGGGGGCACGGGGACAATCAAATCTTCTTCCACTCACCTCGTGAGAGTTGGTGCCATGAGCCACTCTAGTTTTGCAAACTATGGTCGGGGAGAGAAAAGCAGAGGGGAATTAGTGAGGTCATTCACTCACAAAGCCCAAACTGGCAGACCCAGGGGGACGCGGCACTTCTGGAAAGAAGTGTCAAAACTCCTGTAGCCACACTGGGTTTGGGGATGGGGGGAAGGGGCAGGTGGGAGCTGCTGAGACACGCTGACTCTCTGCTGGACAGCGACTGGTATCTGCACTCAGGGTGACGTGGACAAACAGCCCCAGGCCGGGCAGGAAAAGCACCTTCAGTCCATACCACCCAAGGACCCACTTCGATGGTGCAGGTGGTGGTGGGCCTCAGGGCCATGCCCTCTCTTGGCAGTCAAGGCCTTTGTCCAACTTTAAATCCAGAGGGGACTGTACATCCCCACCCCTCTCCCACCCTGGCCAATGTCCAGCAGCGCCCGGCCCAAGCTCTGGCTGTGGTACATACTGAATGGGAAAGTCAGGCCGTTCTTCTCCAGCAGTTGCATGGTGTCGTCCCCACACAGGCTCGTGAGCTCCATGAAGGGTGGTGAGCAGATCCTGTCGTCTAGGGCAGAAGGAAAGGATCATCAGTACACCCACTGGGCAGCCACCCCGGGCCCATGCCCTGTTACAGCCCCTCCTCCAGGGGCCACTTGCACGTCTGCATCTGACGGTCCCACACTCCGCAATCGCATGGGTTTGTGTCCCGCCTGAACAATAGCAACGGCATATTCTTTTTTTGTTGTTTTTGGCTGGCTGGTACAGATCCAAACCCTGGACCTTGGTGTTATTAAGCATATTCTTTAATTACATTTTCTAATAACATTTCTGTAATTAAAAAACTTGTATATGATAACTATAAAATTTGAAGAGCACAGAACAGTAAAAAAAATACATATTCACAGATATTACAACTGTTTCTACTACATTTTTAGCCTTTATTTTAGATATTTATACACATAGAGCTTTATAATAGGATACAGTCCTCTCACTTGAATTTTAACTTAATACACTGTGACCATTTCTCTAGTTCAATAAAGACTTTTTCCACAGTATGATACACTGACTTCATAATAATCACAGGAACAACGTGGCACTGTTAGCTTGTAGCACTTGTCCAGCATTGTGCAAGGGCTTTGCAGACACCATCTCTACAAGTTTGCAAAATAATTCCCTAAGGAGGAAACTGAGGTCAGAGAGATGGAAGAACTTGCCCGTGGTGACACAACTATTCCCTTGCGTGGACGCAGCACAATCCCTCGCCTCCTCACCACTTAACACTACAGAGCTCCTGACGCAGCGTCTGATGGTCCTGTCTCCCAGCTCCTCTGGAGCACACTCACTGGACCTCCCCGTCTGCCACACCCTGGCCCAGGGCCTGCCCTGTGCCTTGCCAATGCCTCTCACCCTTAGCACCTCTGCTTTCCCGAGTCCCCAGTCTCAGACGGTGCCTGCTTCTCCAGGCGCCTACCCAGTAGATTCTAATGGTGTGGCTGATTTTCTGAAAAGCTTTGGAAGCCAAATTGTTCTGTTCATTGTGAAGCTCCTGGTGTCAGGCACTAAGTAAGGGTGAAATAGATTATTTGTGGGATGAGAATCATATTTTGAATTTCTCCACTGATTAGTAAATTACTGGTTTGTTACTATTACTTCTTGTCATACTCCCCTTCCCTGATAAGATCATGAGCTCCTCAGGAGGTGGGACCACGCTGTACTTCTGGGCACAGGGGCTACGGAACTCTGCCAGCCACCAACTTGGAAACCAAACCAAAGTAAACAAGCAAAGAGGCTTGTTCCCACGAGCTTCTAGCTACTTGGCTGGCTAGGTGGTCAGCACATTAAACCAAGGTAAGATCCAGCCTCATTCAACACATAAAAACAAATGCCAACAAAGACACAGGGCATATTAAAGTGCTTTCATCTCCCTCCTCACCTGAACTCATCACCCCCCCACCTCCAGGTAAAGTCCAGACCCCAAGGAGGTGCAAGATTTGGGGAGTTGCAAGGTTTCTTTGGGGCCTGCCTTGGATTGAATGTCCCCCTCCCCCAAACTTAATCCCCACTGTAACTATTAAGAGGGTGGGAAATCCTATTATGGTAATTGAAAGAGGGCTTGAAGAGGTGATTAGGTTTTGAAGACCTTGCTCAGTGAATGGATTAAAAATGGTGGTTATGGGTGTGGTTCTGAGGGCTTTAAAAGGAAAGTGCAGGAGGAGCTATTTCTTTCTCTGCTCTGCCATTTTCTGGCATGTGAGATCCCTGCATTGCTGTAAAGCCACCACCAAAGGAGATCCTCTCCAAATGTGTTCCCTGGACATTGGACTTCCAGCCTCTGAAACTGTAAGAATAAATTTTGTTTTCTTTATAAATTACCTAGTTCCAAGTATTTTGTTATAAGCAACAGAAACGGACTAATAATACAGGGCCATGGAGGGTGGTCTGGAGCCAGCATCTGTCAAGCCGGCAGCAGGCGGTGTTGCGGGCCCTCTGCACAAAGCACTCATTGAATCCTCAATGTGCTGTGACAGTGTCCAGATGTGTAGTGTTCAGAAACAGGGGCTCCTAGAGCCACCCATTGCCTGAGGTCACATGACAGTCAACAACAGAGCCAAGATGAGGAGCCAGGGTTAACAGGCAGTCCAGAACAGACATCAGAAAAACCAGGGTGGGGAGGTGGGAAGGTAGGGGTGGGTCCTGGTGCTCGGCTGCAAGCCATAGGCAGGAATGCTGGTGAGGCACTGGCAGGCCTTTCCACAGCTGTATGTGCAAAAGGCTTGCTGCTGCAAACATGAAGGCCCTGCAGCCTAGCCCCAAAGGGATGTGATGCTCAGGCCTGAATAAACTGGAGGATTCTGCAGTGGGCAGGCTTAAGACAGGTGATCACCTAGCCCCTTCAGAGGCTGCTGGGGTCAAACAGACCACCTCCTATGAGAGCTTCCAGACCCCCTCCCTGACCCCTGTTTTCAGAGCAGGTGAATCTGCTTGGCTTTCAGATACTGGCTTCTCAGATTTCAACGATCTACTCAACCACCCTTCCCCACCCTAGCCCCTCCAAACTTTTACATAATGTTGTGGATGATAGCCAACTTCTTAATAAACTGCACTTGTTCTGTGCCAGACACTGTTGCACACAGTTACCCAGCAACTCATTTACCCTCACAAGAGCCCCACAAGGAAGCACTACTGCCAACCCCATTTTACAGACGAGGAAATGGGCACAGAGGTGAAGTTCCCTGCATAGAGTTACACAGTGAGTACATGGAGCAGCTGGCGGGGCTCATACCCGGGCAGCTACTGACCACGGCTTCCCTGGTAGAGAAAAGCACTCACTGAGATCCTGGCTCAAGAGGCCCCTAACAGCGTGCTCCTCTGCTTGGAGCAAACCTCAAAATGCCAGTAGCTTCAACATACAGATGTCAATCAAGGCAAGATATCATGTAATAGAATAAAGGACAAAAACCACATGATCATCTCAGTAGATGCAGACAAAGCATTTGACAAAATTTAATACACTTTCATGGTAACAAGTTAGGAATAGAAGGAAATTTCCTCAACCTGATAAAGGACAACTGCAAAACCCAGGCTTTAAGATAACATCACGTTTACCAGCAAAAGACTGGATACTCTCCCCTTTTGATATTAGGAACAAGACAAGGATGACTGTTCCTGCCACTTCTGTCTAACACTGTACTGCAGGTTGCTAGCCAGGGCCATCTGGCAAGAAAAAGGAAATAAAAATCATTCAGATTGGAAAGGAAGAAGTAAAACTATCTCTATTTGCAGACAATATGATCTTGTATATAGAAAACCCCAAAGAATCCATCTACAAAAAACCCCAAAATTATTAGAACTAATAAACAAGTTCAGCAATGTTGCAGGATACGAAATCAATCTATGAAAAGCAATTGTATTTCTATACCAGCAATGAACAATCAAATGTTAAATTAAGAAAACAATTTCATTTACAAAAGCATTAAAAAAAGGATGAAATACTTAGGAATAAACTTAATAAATAAGTGCAAGTCTTATACACTGAAAACTACAAAATGTTGTTGAAAGAAATTAAAGAAGACTTCAATAAATGGAAAGACACACTATGTTCATGAATAGGAAATTTATTATTGTTAAGCTGGTAACACTCCCAAATTGATCTACAGACTCGATTTAATAGCCACCAAAATCCCAGCTTCCTTTTTGCAGGAATTGAAAAGCTGATTCTAAAATTCATATGAAAATGCAAGGGACCCATAACATCTTGAAAAAGAAGAGCAAAGTTGAAGGACTCAAACTTCCTGATTTCCAAACTTACTACAAAGCTATAGTAATTGAGACAATGTGGTACTGGCATAAGGAGAGACATTTGGATCAATGGAATAGAATCGAGAATCTAGAAATAAACATATTTAAGCTCAAATGATTTTCTACAAGAGTGCCAAGATAATTCAGTGGGGGAAAGGATATGCTTTTCAATAAACAGTGCTAGGACAACTGGACATCCACATGCAAAAGAATGAAGTTGAACCCTGCTGTGGATTGAATGTTCCCCCAAAATGCACTGGAACTTAATTCTCACTGTAATTGTGTTAAGAGGGTGGGAAATCCTATTATGGTAATTGAAAGGTGGGTCCTTTTAGGAGGTGATTAGATTGTGAGGACTGTGCCCTGGTAAATGGATTGATACATTCATGGAGTAATGGGCATGGTCCTGATGGCTTTAAGAGGAGTCAAGTGAGAGCTTAGCTCTCTGCTCAGCCATTTTGCCACATGACACCCTGCACATCTCTACAGCCACCACTGAGAACAGATGTGTCCCTCACCATATGTCTTCCTGGGACTTTGGACTTTCCAGCCTCCAAAAAGCAGTAACTATTCTACTTCTTTATAAATTACCCAGTTTTAGATATTTTTTATAAGCAACAGGAAACGGACTGATACAGACCCCTAACTCACATCATATACAAAATTAATTCAAATGGATCATGATATAATTACAAGAGCTAAAACTACAAAACTCTTAGAAGAATAAGTGTGAATCTTAGTGACCTTGAGTTAGGCAATGGTTTCCCTAGATGTGACACTAAAAGCTCAAGCAACCAAAGTAAAAATTGATAAACTGGACATCACCAAAATAAAAAAACTTCTGTACATGTATTGAAATATTACTCTGTACCTCATAAACACAGACAATTATTATGTGTCAATTAAAAAAAAAATTTAGGGGCCGGCCCGGTGGCGCACTGCTACAGTGCGCCGCTTGGGAGCGAGGCAGCGCTCCTGCCGAGGGTTCGGATCCCACATACAGACCGGTTCCCGCTCACTGGCTGAGCGAGGTGCGGGCACAACACCGAGGGTTGCGATCCCGTTGCCGGTCCCGGTCTGGTACGGGCGCGACACTGAGGGTTGCGATCC